ACTGCAGAGCCGCCTGGTCCAAGCCCCCAGAGCCCCAGGAATCTGGCCAGAACCCTGCAGCACAGTGGTGGGAGCAGGATGCCCAGCCCTGCCCGCGCACCTGATCTCAACCCCACAAAGCCTCAGGGAGCCCGCACTAGGCTGCAGCTGCTGCACAGGGCACCCCAGTCCTGACAAGCACCGAGCCTAACTGCTGTCCGGGAGGCAGGCAGGGGGGCCCAGGGGTGGGGTGTGGCTGGGAGGGATTCGGCGCCCCCGGGAGCCTCTGCTGTTTCTGGAGGGCCCAAGTGATGCCCTCGCGCCCAGGCCCAGCTGTTGGAAGACTAAACGGCATCGATTGAGAATGTAATTGCTTGGTAATCACTGAGTAAACACTGCCGGGGCCACTGATCCAGCTGGGGAGGGACCGGAGGAGGCAGGCTGCGCTGGCCACAAGCGCTGGCTGCGGTCGGCTCTAGGTGATGCCATCCAGGAGAAACGGGCATAAAGCCTCTCGAATACCTCATCGAAACCCCAGCACTAGAGGAAACTCTGCAGGGCGACACCCTAAGACAGTAACAGCGGATAACGCCACATGACTGGATTTAGGTTGTTTTTCCCTCTTGATAGTTCGGATATGTTCCATGTCTTCAGAAACTTGCACGTGGAACTTACAATCAGAGCAAATAGATGCTATTTGAGGTTGAAAGAAGTGCCGGTGAGATCTGTGCTCTTTGGAAAAATGTATAGATGTATATATCACAGTACAACAGAAGCTGAGTGACCACCCCTCGGCCGCGGGTAGAGGAGGCTGCCTCTGGGCGGGAGGTGGGGCCCCGGGTGGTGCGGTCCCAAGGAAGAGCTGCTCCCTAGCCAGCTCTTCATCTGGAAGTAGGAAGAGCCTCTCTCAAAGAATTGAGATAAAAATATGGAACGCGCTTAGTCTGACCTCCTGCATGTTCAATACACATGAATATTAGTGTGTCTTGCACTGGGTGGGTGGGGGCGGGCAGTGAGGAGGGTGGGGTCAGGGCCAAGCGCTGTCATTTCAGGCTGGGGCACTGCCCTGCCAGCTCCTTTGTCTGCCTCCCCAAGGCTGGACTTGCTCTTGCTTCCCCCTTTCAGGACCCCCGCCCTCCTTCCATTACCCTAATAGCCCCCTAGCCGTCTTCCTCATCCTGGTCCCATGCCACCCCCGAGACACACGGGCTGCCGTTCAGCTCCGTGCTAGGAGGCGGCTGGCCCGCTCCAGGGTCATTGTTCCGAATGTCATGGAGAGTCTGGGCTCGAAACTAGGGCTGCAATTACCAGCCTATTCAGTTCCCCAGAATAACGGCCTGCCATCAGCTGGCTGTGCAGAGGAAGTGGGGAAGGGGACAAAGCCTTGGCCGGCTGCTCCCACTGCCACCCCAGCCTCACCTGAGGACAGGTGGCCTGCTCGGGGAACCTCTCGGCACAGAATAGACGGAAGCTAGGGTGATGCGACCTGCATGGCCCACATCCAGGGCCTTGACCTGCTCATCCCTCTCAGGACACCCCAATCTTTGCTGCCTGCCCCATGGGCTCTCTTCCACTGGACTCCAGCTTTCAGACTCACTCCACTTTAACTATTCCCATTTGGGGGGCATTGCTCCCGACCTCAGCGTCTCAGCCTGCGTTACAGAGGAGGGAGAGGCCTGCTCTTAGCTCCTTTGGAAGAGGGTGGGGATCACTCATGGACCCCAGAATCTCCCCACCTGGAGGGTTTGTAACTACATCTTCCCTTCTAGGGGGCAATGCCACTTCTGGGGTGCACCGGAAGATCCCATAGGGTGGTAGTAAAACCAGGTGCCATGGGGGTGCTTTCTGTTCGCATAATGAAAGAAAGTAGATTTGGGGACGGGGCCACTGATTCTTTATTTTATTTTTATTATTATTATTTTGGCTGAGACCGACCACTGCAGGCTCCAGATGAACCCAGAGACTCAGGATTCAGGCTAAGCCCCACTGCTTGGAGTAGGGGGCAGGGAAGGACAGGTCCTCAACCCAGGGCGGGCCTTGGTCACCACCGAGGGAAAGATCAGATCTGATTCCACACGCCCAAGGGCCCAGGTGCCTGAGTCCAGCTGGCTTAGCACCAAACCCTTACTGGCCTTTCCTACAGAGACCACGGACCCCTCACAGGATCCTGAGGGGATTGGCCAGGACCTGCGGGGCTTCTGGGAACCCAGGCTGGGGCGGGGGGAGCCTGTCCAGGCTCGGGGTCCCACAGCCCAGTCCAGGGTCTCCTTAGGGGGGGTCCAGTGGAGTGTGGGCCCCTCACACCCGGTGGGACCTCAGGCCTGGTGTCACCTTGCTGCATTCTTGCGGTTGGAGAGGTTTGGGGTCCTCCCCCGAGGCAGGACTCTGGTAACAGGGAAGGGAAAGGGGGCGCAGGAGGGTCTGAGAGCAGGAACATTGGGAGACTGAGGGAGGAAACTTCTTAGGCTGAGCCCCCCGCCCGCGGGAGCCAACCACAGACAGAATGACAGACACAGACACTGTTAGACACTCAGCAAGCAGCCAGAGGCCTTCTTCTTGGAGAAGCTGACACGCTGCCGTCAGGTGGACAGACAGACAGAGGGAAACATGCTCTAGGAAACAAGCCAGACAGACAGACAACACAACCTTGAATAGCGGGGAACCGAGGCAGAGAGCCGCTGAGTGTTTGGACCATTGTGGAGACAGGGACCTCCAGGCCCTGCTGTCTGCCTTCAGGGGGAAAAGTGTAGGAAGCAGAGCTGAGGGGTGTTCCCTGAGCCAACCCAGGAAGGTCCCTCACCACCCACCCCTCTGCAGAACCCTCTGCCTTCTCTGAGGGGACACGAGATCGCAAATTGTCTCCCGCCCAGTCTCAAGTGCGGGAAAAACCTGATTTCCTCTGTCGGCTGGTCCTCATGAGGGAGCAGCGCCCCTGCCAGACAACATGCCCTGCCCCCCCACCCCCACGGTCCCTTCCCCACCAGGGTACAGGGCAAGCAGGAGGGCCCAGGAGGAAAACTCCAGTGAGAAGGTCTGTGGCCAGTCTCTCCCCAGGGCTGGGCTTCTGGGAGCACATGCTTCTCCTGGGTGCTCAGTGGGTGCAGAGGGCCCACTCCCCTCTCCTCTGCCCAGGAGACCTCACTCCAGCAGACGTGGGGGACGCTTGAGATGTGACTGAACAAACGCAGCTTGTGGGCGGCACTGGAGTCTCCAGCTCTTCCTTCCCATTGCTGTTCTCCCTGGGGGCTCCCACCAGAGGCGAGTTCCTCATGTGTGTGACAGCCTTATTTGTCTCTAGGGCTCTGAACTTGGCACAGAGACATCCCAGGGCGATGGGGCGGGGGGGGGGGGGTGGCCCAACACTTGGGCTTCCCTTGGACCTTCCATTCTTCAACATGGGTGGCTTCAGGGAACAGCCCTGCCTCCCTCAGACACGAGGGTCAGGATGCTGAGGTGCCCACTGGGGCAAGGGCACCCTTCGCCTCTAGTTTCTCCCTCAGAGTCCTGCCCTAGCTCCAGCCCTCATGACCAGCCCCCTTTTAAGAGAAAAGAGCAACTTTCAGAGCATGGTCTTCCGTCCCCAGTCTCTACCTCTCATTATTCGCGGGTATTTCCAAGGACTAAAGTGATCATAAAATCACTGAACCTTAAGAAAGAGCCAGCATGAGGCAGTGGTGGCCCCAGTGCAATTCCGGGCCTTGGCGTGTCCTGGCTGTGTGACTGGGCATGTGGGCTGAGCTCTCAGGTCCCTGGTCTCCTCTCTCCTGAGACAGGGACAAGAAAAACCTTTGAGGGGCTGGAGAGATAGCACAGCGGGTAGGGCGTCTGCCTTGCACGCGGCCGACCTGGGTTCGATTCCCAGCATCCCATATGGTCCCCTGAGCACCGACCGCCAGGAGTAACTCCTGAGTGCAGAGCCAGGAGTAACCCCTGTGCATCGCCGGGTGTGACCCAAAAAGCAAAAATAAATAAATTTAAAAAAAAAAGAAAAACCTTTGACCTCATCAAGTGGCTGGGGGTCCAGTGAGATTCCACATAAATGTGACTTTCTGCAAAGACCATTCCCCTCATCACACAGAAGAGGAAACAGGGGCACCTTCATCTCCACAGTCTGAGCTGCAGGGGGGCCAGCTTTAAGTCAGATCTAGAACGTCATGAGTGCATGATGGAGAGGACAGAGAATATGTAGAACTGAGGCAGGTTGGTGGGGACAGAGATCAGAGAGCACTGAGGGTCAGAGCTGGCAACACAGACAATAGGGTAAGAGCAAGGCGAGGGGGGGGTGCACAAGGAGGAGGAGAAATGAGGGGGCATGGGCCAGAGAGACAGAGGCGTGAGGTAGGGGAAGGGAGACTACCGGCAAAGGAGAGGGGAGGAAAGCAAGATGAACAGCCCAGGACAGGGAAGAGAACCCCCCTTTCCCAGGCCACCACGGAGAGTCAGAAAATGCTTAAAATCAAAGCCAGTCATTTGGGTTCTGTTATGACAAGAGAAAAGTTAGCATGAAAAGTGTAAGTCTTTGATATTTAAGGAACGGGCAGGTCCCTCGTGAGCGTCAGACAACCTACTAGGTTAAAGATACAGTATTTAAGAAGTTGTGTTTTCAGGGACTGGAAAGATTGTGCAGTGTATGTAAGCCACTTGCTTTGCTTACAGTTGAACCTGGTTTGATTTCCGACATCACACATCACCCAGCATCACCGGGAGTAATTCTTGAGCACAGAGCCAGGAGTCATCACCGGTGTGCCCCCCTCAAAAAAAAAATTTTTTTTTCAATAGGCCAATAACTCAGACCTTGGGAATGGCTCATCTGGGGACCAGAGGAAGGAAAGAAAAATAGAAGTCGGAGGAAGGAGGTTAAAAGCAAAACAAAACAGAGAAACAACCAAAAACCAAAGACACACACACACACACACACACACACACACACACGAGACTTCAGAGGAAGCATCGAATGGTGCCATGATGGAGGCTTTGGGGTGGGGGCAGACAGGGACTGAAGCACACCCAGCAAATCGCACCTTTGGGAGGCCAGGTCGGAGCAGTCGGCAGCGGGGCAGCAGAACTGGTGCAGCACCGTCTCATTCCTGAGGGAAGAGGAGAGGGAGCAGGTCAGCTGTGGCCAGACATGCAGGTATCATCGCTCCAAGGCATGCCCCGGGGGTCACCAAACACTGCTCCTGGGAAGGGAGTGCAGAGCACCGTCCTCCGAGCTTCCTCAGTCACTCACTAAGCCCCACTCAACCACCCCCTCTGCTTAGTCTCCTAATCAGAGTCTTTCCCGGTGGGGAGCCCGTTTGTTCTGCTCCACCATTTGCTTTGTCATAGTTTCTTCATAACCGTTTCCCTCTGGGGCCCAGCAGAGCTGGGTCGTAGATTCTCTTCTCGTGTGCAGACTTGCATGCCGTAAACATTTTTAAGCTGATTACTTGCAAAGATACAAACATGCACTCAGTAGCTGTTAGTGTTGCTACAAGTCCAAGGCAGGTGTTTGATGTGGGATTTGTTTGATGCAGATGAAAAAGCCAGCCCAGCAGGCAGAGATCTGGGTTCCAGAGGCAGCTCCTGCTCGCCAACTGTGTGGCACCCGGCTCACCTTTTCAGGGTCTCAATTTATTTACTCTTGCCATAAGAGAGAGGGCAGAGCTGGAAAAACGGCTCTCAGCTCTTTAGAATCACGGGGAGAGAGATTTGAGATGCTGTCGCTGGGGCTGAGGGGTCCAGCAGGGATTAAGGCATTTGCTTTGCTGGCCCTAGTTTGGTCCCGGGCACCACATGATCCCCTGACTGTTCCCTGGAGCAAACACCAGCAAAGAGGTGAAAGTGGTCTCTGAGCAGCCCCAGATGTGCCTCCCCAAACAATACCGATAAACTCCTGGTGCCTGATCCCCACCGCCTTGGCCTGATTCACTGGGTTAGGCTTGGGACTCAGAGACTCAGGAGCAAATCTCGAAACCCAGTGGCTTTTGGCAGAAATCCCTCCAGATTTAAGTGTTAAAATTTCGGAATTTCAAAACCACGTGACCCTACTGCAGCCACGTGACATCATATGTTATTCATAACCAGCAACAGAACACAAATTGTCTACTGTTGCCTTTTCAGCAGATCCGAGTGTTGGGGTAAAATTTCAAATAATAATGGTGGGTCTGGTGTTGAAATATTGAATGTGATCAAAGTAGAGAGAGAGTAATGTGGAAATCATCTGCCCCAAAGGAAGGGGCGGGGTGTGGGATGGGGGTATACTGGGGTTTTTGGTGGTGGAGAATGGTCACTGGTGAAGGTACGGGTGTTTCATTGTATGACCAAGACTTAGACCTGAAAGCTTTGTAACTGCCCTCATGGTGATTCAATAAATAAAATTATAAAAAATGAAAAAAAAGTAAGGTGGAGTTCATGCACAATCAATCAGCTAATCAGTGGCTGAATAAATAGCAGTACTCCTACATTAAAAAAAAAAAAAAGGAATTACTCCTGGCTGTGCTCGGGGACTATATAGGATGCTGGAGATCGAACCTGGGTCGGCTGCGTACAAGGCAAACGCCCTTCCCGCTGTGCTATTGCTCCAGCCCCTTTCCAGGGTTTCTTTCATCTTAAAAAATACCATGATTCTGGGACCAGAGTGAGAGTACAGTGGATAGGGCCTTTGCCTTGCATGCAGCCAACCCGGGTTCTCTCCCCAGCATCCCATAAGGTCCCCCAAGCACTGCCAGGAATAATTACTGAATGTATGAGCCAGGAGCAACCCCTGTGTATGACCCAAAAAACAAACAAACAAAAAAAGAACAAGCGTCTTTCGACCTGGAAATTCCACCTCTGGAATATGATACACTCAAAATGCAAGGTCTGGCTCACAAAGGTATCTGGACAAATTGTTATATCTTTTAGGGGAGGAAGCTAAGCAAGGGGAAATAACCAGAATCTTCATCAATAAGGGAAGAGTCGCTCAAATTGCAATCATTTCATCTGCACCTGGTAATTATGTGTTGTATATCCGTGCGAAGCAAGCCCCACTTCTCTATATGCTCAGAAGTGCTCAGAAAAGCACATCCAACGAAACTTCCCCATCGCTCTAGGCGTGAAGCAAGGCAAGGCGAGTTTTCATTCACTGTTGGCATATTCCCCCACCAGCATTCTTTTACTTCTTTTGTTTGTTTGTTTTTGGCGGGGGGGGGGGGGGGCACATCCAGCAGTGCTCAGGGATTGCTCCTGGCTCTGCATTCAGGGATCGCTCCTGGTGGTGTTCAGGGGCTAGACATGGTCCCAGGGATCAAACCTGGATCAGTCACATATAAGGCGAGTTCCAACCTACTGTATTATCCCTCTCACCCCTCATTCACTTCTTCTGACTGCTTTTTGTTTTGCTTTGTTTTGTTTGGGGGGGTCCCACCTAGTTTTACTCAGGGCTTACTCCTGGCTCTGTGCTCAGGGATTACTCCTGCTGGCAGTGCTCGGGGGAACATATGTGGTGCCAGGGGTCAAACCCAGTTGAGCTGTGTACAAGACAAGCGCCTCACTCGCTGTACTATCTCTCTGGCCCCATGATAGTTCTTTATGACACAAATGATCATCTTATTTTTCATAAAGAAGAAACACAAAAGGAGAGAGATAACAAAAGGGAATGCCCTGTCACAAAGGTAGGGTGGGATGAGGGGGATGGGGAGTGGGAGGGATACTGGGATTAGTGGTGGTAGAGAATGAGCACTGATGGAGGGATGGGTAATTGATCATTGTACAACTGAAACCCAAGCACAAAAATTTGTAAGTCTACAACTGTACCTCATGGTGTTTCACTAATAAAAGGAGGAGGAGGAGGAGGAAGAGGAGGAGGAGGAGAAGGAGAAGAAGGAGAAGGAGAAGGAGAAGGAGAAGGAGAAGGAGAAGAAGAAGAAGAAGAAGAAGAAGAAGAAGAAGAAGAAGAAGAAGAAGAAGAAGAAGAAGAAGATGATGATGAAGAAGAAGAAGAAGAAGAAACAACCAAAGGCCCAGAGGAAATAAATGGCTTGCCATATCCCTCACCCTACCCCACCCTCCCAAAATCACACAGCTAGTGAGCAGGAGAGATTAAACCACCCCAGGCAGCCTGCAGTCTTGGAGGGGAGGCTCTGTTCTCAGAAGCTGCTACCAGCAACTACACACACACACACACACACACACACACACACACACACTCACACACATACACACACACATACACTCACACATACACATTTAGTGATGTGTAGAGAACATGAGTTTCTCCAGACGAGAAAAACCAGACAGCACAAATTTCAGGTCAAGATATAGGCAAATCTCCAAGATGGAGACCGCCCCAAATTGATAAGTATTGATGAGGTTGTTGGTCATGAGTGGATGGAACTGTCGGGGAATGGGGCAGGAGGGAAGAGGGGACTGCAGCTAGCTCAGGGGATTTCTGGGCATCACACAAGCAAGAGAGAGGCAAAGGCAGTGTAGACCAGAAGGACCAGGGTCTTGAGGGCTCGACCATAGAAGAATCTTGTTTCTTAATAGAACTGGGGCGTTGGGGAGAAGGGTGGGGTCAAGAAAAGAGAAGAGTGGGGCAGCCACTGCTGGAAGGAAGAGGCAAGTGGCACCAGGAGCTAATTAAAGCTTCCACCAGGTCAGGCTCTCAGAATGCAAGGAGACTCTTCACCTATCAGTTTCCACATCTATATTTAGCTGGAAACTCAAGATTCCACTGCAGGACCATAAAAATTGTTGAGTAGCTTAAGAAACTGACGTGTGCAGTTCTGCAGTGGGGGAAGTTGGCAGAGGGACGGAGAAAGGATTTCCTGCAGGAAATAGGAGGCGAAAGAACCAGTACCCTGTGTGTGTGTGTGTGTGTGTGTGTGTGTGTGTGTGTGTGTGTGTGTGTACATTGTCAATGCCCAGACACTTCCCCCGGATCCATGTTACCAAACCCAATACAAAACAGCAGATTCAACTCCCTTGCAAGGGAAAAATCAGGGAACCCCTCGGAGGCACTGTCTTGAGGCACTTCAAAATCATCAAATCATTCTCAGACACTTCTTCCCATCCCAATTCCAAGGTCACTAGTGCTGGTCCAGCTGCCTTTGTTCCACATTCTCTCCTCCTCCAGGAGAACTTCTCTATGGAAATATGATGAGGAAGAGAAGCTGCTCTTCTTTTCTCAAAAGTCATTCCTGTTCCTGGGCAATGGGAAAGCCAAAGAGCCAACAGAAGTCTGAAAGTCAAGAATGAGCTGTAGGACTTACATGGCGTATTTTCTAAGCAGAACATCACATGGCCCAAATGAAGAGAGTTTGGTGCAGGTGTAAGAACAGACCTTCAGATCAACTGGACCAAACAGAAAGGTTAAAAAGAATAAAATGTAGGTGCTGAAGTGATAGTATAGAGGTAGGGTACTTGCCTTGCATGCAGCTGACAAGGGTTAAATCTCCAGCACTCCAGATGGTCCCCCAAGCCTGCTAGGAGTGATGCCCTGAGTACAGAGCCAGCAGAAAACCCTGGGCACTACTGGGTGTTACCCCCCAAAAAAACAAGAGAGAGAGAGAGAATCAAATATTTATTGATTCTTGGTAAAATACCAAGGTCATTCAGGGGAGGGTGATGACCTTTTAAATGGATATGCTGAAATGATTGGTTATCTACATATTTTTATTTGTTTATTTTTATTAGTGAAACACCATGAGGTACGGTTGTAGACTTACAAACTTTTGTGCTTGGGTTTCAGTTATACAATGATCGAGTACCCATCCCTCCACCAGTGCCCGTTCTCTACCACCAATGATCCTAGTCGCCCTCCCACACTCACCCCCCACTCCCGCACCCCGCCCCCCTCTGTGGCAGGGCATTCCCTTTTGTTATCTCTCTCCTTTTGGGTGCTGTGGTTTGCAATAGAGGTATTGAGTGGCCATCGTGTTTGGTCTATAGTCTACTTTCAGCACGCATCTCCCTTCCCAAGCGAGTCCTCCAAACATCCTTTACTTGGTGTTCCAATGGTTATCTATATTTTAAAAACCTCAATTTCTACTGTGCATTATTTACAAAAATTAATCTTAAGTGATCTTAGACCTAAAATAACAACCATATTTTATAAACTCCCCAG